TATCTATCTATCTATCTATCTATCTATCTATCTATCTATCTATCTATCTATCTATTTATCTATCTATCTATCTATCTATCTATCTATCTATCTATAAACTCACCTCAACAATGTACCTGATTTATTGGATTTATTGGGCTGGAATCGTGTTGCAGAATCCAAACCCAAATTAGCACCGTGAAATCTGAGCACACAGAAAACTAGGTGAGAAAACACAGGGTTTGTAACAAGCAAAAATATTAAACTTCTGAAGGAGAGTCGGCTACGAATGACTAGATCTAGATCTAGTCTAAAAAAGACAAGCACGATTTTCTGGAATTTTTGGGGTGCTTATTCGTTAGCTCGCAGATACAAAGTCTTTTAGTTGTGAGCCTGAGAACACGTGCGGGGTCTAGACCAATGGTAATTCCAGCGTGTGGCCTCCACAGTTCCGGGATCCACTAAAAAATTAATTAGCAAATAACCACAAATGACACAAGAAATGATGGCTTTTAAAAGAAAAAAAGACTACAAAAGCCAGGTTTCGAACATGAGCACTCTGTGAGAAAGGGCTAGAACTGAAAAGATCTAAACAAAGGGCAGTTCGCCTGCACCTATTCGCATACGTTTGAAAATACCACCAGCTGATTGGACGGGCTGAAAGAAGGGAAACCGTGTGGGATCGTGAAGATTATGTAACGGTGGGGAAATGTACGTGCTTTCCTTCCTCCCACGCGCATGCGCTTGCACAGTTATCGTGTGAGAACAGTGGAGAGTTCTTTACTGATAAACGAAAAAGAAAAACAATAAACAAAAGGGCAAGCATTAAGAAAGAGAAGAGAAGCTAGGAGTGAGAGACAGAGACATACAGACAGACAGATAGACAGACAAACAGACAGACAAACTGACAGACCGAGATATTAAAAAGAGAGAGAGGGAAAGACAGAACATTTATGCTAGTGAAAGAGCAAAAGACAGAAAGAGAGACGAAAAGAGAGATAATGGAAAGGAGTGGAGAAGAGAGGAGAGAGACAGACAGTCAGACAGGCAGGCAGAGATGCTAAAAAGTGGGAGAGAGAGAGAGAGAGAGAGAG